GTCGGCTGCAGGTGCACACAGTCTGGAGCTCACCGCAGGAATGAGACGGGTTTCTAATGATCTGCGAGTTCGGTAATCCTTAATAAGTCAGAGCTGTGAATCAGCTTCACTCAGGATCACTGACACTCTGTCAGTGATGTCACCTCCAGTAGGTGGCTGAGAATACTTTCTTTACTGCATTAAGGTCAGTATGTGGATAGTGGATAAATGACACTAACCAAAAGGAAATCTTAATGTAGATGATCACTGTGTTATGTGGAGGCTCCTGTCAAAGTCACATCAATGCAAATGCTGAGGTTATTCCAGAAAACCAGTGTGTTGTGTTAAGATAAGTTAATTTGTTTGACCTCTCAGTAATTTATTATTTCAACTGATTTGAGTAGGAACATAAGCAAAAGTGATGCGAGTCCAACACACTGCTGTCTGTTGTTTTGGGTTTCCAGTTAGATTTGCCATTAATTCTTTATCATTATTTTTCAGAAAAACTATAAGAAAAATTGTAGGGTGAGTCTTTACAGTTTTACAGTTATTCTAAGTTTGGAAGAAGAATATAAGATTCAGACCAAAAGCATCACAGATCCACACATTTATACCTATGTATGGCGACGTTTCAAATAGTTGTCTGTTAGATCCTCACTGAATGTTTGTTGTGGGAAAGCTCAATCTGAATTTCAACTGATCAATAACCGTGGCATGATTGAAAATACTCCTCTGCTATTTTTTGTAGGCATTCCCTGACTTAATCTTACAAGTGTTTTTTTTGTTTGCTTGTTTGTTTAATCTGAGATCATGATCTTCTAATAAAGTATAATCAATTTTTAAGCATTTTGCAGATTTTCATTTGTAGGATGTATAATTGTGGATTGTTAAAATAACATTCATGTCAAATGGATTTTGGTTTTGCAGTACAGTTTGTCTGCTGTGTACCATGTTTTTGAGGAAAGAAATTCACTGAAATATTAATTGTTTGACAGTCTTTTGGATTCACACAAAACAGGAAAAAAGACTAAATCTGTCCAGAAACATCAGAAGTTTCCCAGCACTCCTCTACTTTAAATCCAGTAGAGATGCCCTGCTTTGCAGCATGTCTGTAAAGCAGGCCCATCTCTTTTATTAACACAGAAAGGAGGAGTGCCTTGGACGGACTGTCATTTTTCTTATACCATTGAAAATCAGTGGAGAGAATAATCGAGCGGCCATATACACACTCCCTTACGCACACTTAGAAAAGCACACATTATCCCCAGAGGACCTGCTCACCCTCTGAATGGAGCCGCCAAGCAAAGCAGGGTGGATCGGCCGCTGTGAAGCGGTCACATACACACAGCTACTCCGAAGGTCCCTGATGAGGATGCTGATAGGGAGCGACAAAGGGAAGGAAGATGGACCGTTTGAAACAATAAACCTTATATTTTACATAGTTTTCAGCTGACAATCATGAGCCTTTAGAACATTTTTAAGACAAAAGCCAAGGCACGAGTGGACTTGAATGACAATTGTCATTTCATCTATTCCATTTAATTAGCTAATGTAAAATTAAAGTGTAGAACAGAAGAACTGCAGGTGCAGGTGAAGAAACAAAGGACAAAGATTTGGGGAAACGTTCAAAGGGTCATTTTGCCTCTTAGCTCATCCCGACGCACATATGCTTTGAGCCACGCCCGGTCTTTCTTTGCACAATGTGTGTGTGTGTGTGTGTATGCATTTACGTGTGTGTATTTGAGTGTCTTTAGGATCACAATCAGAGTCCCGGTTGAGTCTGAGCCAGAAGGTCCATTAGGGCTGATTGAAGAGCACAGGGATGCAGATGTAACCCTGAGAAGAGGTGACAAGAACGCTCTCTACCGTGCTTTCTCTCTCACTCTGCCGAACACGCTCACCCAAAGACACAAAGTGATGTCCACTCTCATAAAGAATGAGCTCAAATGGGCCCACAAGCAGCTACGTCATGCGAAAGACCCACACAAGCGGCAGTCACGTGATCAGTTTGTGTGCACGCACATGCAATGTTTCAGCTAACGGTTGTGAAGAAAATTGCACATTTGTGATGCTTTAAAAATTATTTCTCAGTCAGAGCACTGTAGTTTATTCAGTTCAGATAGAGGATAGTGCTTTAAAACCAACAATATTCTGTAGTGGAGACTGACATGTTTCCTTTCTGCGGAAATAAAATGCAACTGCTAGGTCAGAGGTGGGCTATATGACAGAAATAGCATCATAATAATTTCTTATAGTGAAATTGTTTTGATTTTAATCACAATTTCTTGACATAAAATACAGATTTTAAAGAAAGTAATGGAGCATTCATACCAAGGGACATTCCTGAAATGATTAGTCTGAAATTTACATATGGTATTTCTAGATCAAGAGCAAAATGTGTGTCAATACAAAGTCCTAATATGGGTAGAAATAGAAACTTGTGTGTTTTTAGGATTTCTCACCTAAAAAAAATGCCATTTTTTCCAACAAATACTAAAATAGTGAGGACTCATTGCTCCTTGTGGGGCCCAAAGCCCACGCCCCATTAGAACAAAAATTAAAGCCGTTTTGGAGTCAGGTTCTGGACAAAGGTGTGAATTGATTTTAGGTTAGGTTTAAGGTTTAGCATGTACTAGTAATGGTTAGGAGTAAGGAGTAAGTCAATGCAAAGTTCCTGTAACGATAAAAAAAAAAAAAATGGCATAGTGTGTATTTAAATCAAACCTTTAAGATCTAAAGCTCAATTAAAGACCATTTGGCTGGTAACATGAGCTGTTGAATCCCAGAAATGACAGCCATTAGAGATTGAGACAGACAGAACTTTCTTATGAGGTCCATGAATGAGTTGCCACTGAGGATAGACTTCCTTTCCTTCAGGAGGTGGCTAAGTTTTACAACCTCTTTCATCTAATTATCTTGTTTTAGCCTACAATAAAAAGGCCACATCTTATCAAAAATGACACTTCCAAGAGATTAAGCCTGGCCAAAGGATAACATTTTGATTCTGAGGTACAGGTAGAGGGTCTGGAAGTTTTACTTTCTCCAATCACTTTGTGCCTGTTTTCAGACATTACTGCAACTAACTTTTTGTTTTGCTTGTGCTATTATTCATTTGGAGAAAGAGAGCGTGTCATGGTGAGTCCCTTTAATATCTCCCGCAAGCCCTGTATTCAGCAAACATGTGAAAGAAGATGTTCTGGGTAACTGAAGCTAATATTAAACACATAATCAGGACAGTGAAACAAAGCTGCTGGCCCATCAGCTCATTAGCACCAGATGTACTCTCTGTAGCTGCCATATGAGCAGATCCAGCTGGAGCTGCAGCCCACCATGAAGAAGCCAGCAGGACCAGGGAAGCTGGTCAGAGTTATTGGGAGAATATGTTAAAATCAAGAAAAGCCTTAAGGCTGGTATGGGGGTTCACTTTCCAGCAGGACAACAACTCTAAAACAGAAACAGCTAGAGCTACTTCATAGCCACGCAAATTCGGGCATTTATATGTCTCGTTTGTTAATATTTTCTGCTCGCAGATATGCTACGTGATATGACTACGGTTATTTTTGCAAAATGGAGTGTGCAAAAATGTCAGTGTTGAGATGCCCAGCTAGTAGAGACACTAGACATTTAATGAAAGTGCAGCAAACAGTGGATATGTGACACATTGAGTCAGAGGGGCTAAATAGAAATGCACAAAGCACTTTCAGATTAGTTTAAAAAACATTTTGACAAAATATTGTTTCACTTCCACTAAAACAATTTTGCACTACTTTGTGTTTGTCTATCAAACAATAGCACAATAAAACACACTGAAGTTAATGAGTGTAATCTTACAAAATGTAAAAAAGGTGAAATAAGTAAAAAATAAATTTTATTTTAGCAGTTTATTTACTGTATATTTATTAAAAGACATATCAGCACAAACCCACTTTAAAGTAGTGCCTCCAAACTTGTAAAATGTCAATCGCAACATCTGCAGACATAATGCCGCCAAAGACAAACAAGATGCCTCTTTTTATATTGTCCACTAGATGTCAGTATAACCCAGATAACAAAGTGGACCAGGACATCGCCAGAAAAAAAAACAAAAAACCAACTCAATGTTTATGAAGAGTGAACAACTCAAAAACTTTGTTGCGATGGAAAAGATGAACATTTGAACATTTATTTTGTTTTCCTTTACTTAAAATATATCCACTTAAAATCGGATAGTCAACTTTTTCTGTCCCAGTTTATTATGTTAATATTTTGCTTCAGTACTAAATTAAAAATAAATGACTGATGTCTTCTTCAATCTCATGCTCACGTCTTTACCGACTTCAGTGATTTATTAGTGCTGCTAAGGAATCGTTGTTTTGCATTAGTGAAACTTGTTTCCTCTGGTCAAGATGGATGTTTTTCTTTTTTTTTTCTCTCTCTGAAGAACATGCAGAAAAACCTTTACAAATCTAAAATCTGACATGTGGACCAACTACATATTTTGCTCAAAATGTTGAAGATGATGCCATTGGCTGAGAATCTGGCATTCAGTTGTAAATCTTATGTGGAAAATAAACATATAGCTTTCTGTCCTGAAACATTAGATCAAAGACCGAAAAGGAGAATTTAGCTTAATTATACCTTAGGCCTTGGAAAGCTGAAAACAAGCCAATGGATTTTTGTGGTCTTTGTACCATTTTCTCTTTTTAGGTTTTTTAGAAACATAGTAATAGCTTGAACTTTCTATCTTTTACACTTTAGCATTTTTGAAAAAAGCACATTTACAGTATTTTTAGAGAAGTTGGGGAAAAAATAAAACTATATATAGTGTCACACTGTGCTCATTGATGTCCACTTTATAATCATTTTAAACAGCTGAGATGGAAGATTAAATGTTATGTCTATTGTTTGGGTGAGGTTCATGACAGGCTCAGAACCAAAATATGAACAAATTCCCCTGATGGGTTTTATGTAATATGATCAAAAGTTTCAGAACTTCTGCTAAATGGTTCAAGGAGTGGCCTTTGCAACAATGCAGACCTTAGGAATTACAGCAGACATGATCCAGTTTATGCCTTTCCATAAAGATGTTACAGCAAGCAACAGAAATGTCTATAAATCAGCTGCAGTTAGAAAATGATCCATGCATAAATCACAAATCTTTATTTTGGGAGGATTGACTCATACCTCTGCTATTCTAGGTAATTGTTCTTTATGTTAGTTACTTCAAGACTACGACGCGGAGAAAAGGTCCCATGTGCTGCTGAGAATTACATATATATGAAAATAACGTTGAGGATTACAGACGACCCTGAATGCAGCACGATTTTTTTTTTCTCTCTCGGAGCTTTCCGCTGAACAGTTAACGTCTCTGCTGGCTGTCCTTCTCCTCCTCCCACACAGCCCCAGCCACTATAAACATTACTGTACTCCCAGGATCCTCCCCAACTAAACGTCCTGAGGTCAGCAACTGGGACCCTGTAGGGAGAGGGAGGCAGAGATGGCTCAAAGTTCAACTTTCCCTGAAGTAGTGGAGCTCAACGTGGGTGGTCAGGTGTATGTGACCCGTTTCGAGACTCTCACCGCGGTGCCCAGGTCTCTCCTGTGGACCAAGTTCACCCAGCACACTCCAGCCGACCTGCCTAAAGACAGCAAGGGCCGCTTCTTCTTTGACCGGGACGGCTTTCTGTTCCGCTACATTCTGGATTACTTACGGGACTCGGAGCTTTTTCTGCCGGAGTTTTTCAAGGAGAGAAAGAGGCTGCAGAGAGAGGCGGACTTCTTCCAGCTACCGGAGCTGTCGAGGCGCCTGGCGGCGGCCAGTAAAGACAGCTCCTCCACGGAGGACAGCGGGGAGCCGGAGGAGGTTGAACTCACCAGCCCGGTCACCTCCTCCTCCTCGTCGGATAGACCTCTGCGCTCTCCGGGGGGAAACTCCGGCTACATCACCATCGGGTACAGAGGCACCTACACCATCGGCAGAGACATCCAGGCGGACGCCAAGTTCCGCAGGGTTGCCAGGATAACGGTGTGCGGAAAGATCTCTCTGACCAAGGAGGTTTTCGGGGAAACCCTGAATGAGAGCCGCGACCCGGACCGGCCCCCGGACAAATACACGGCCCGCTACTACCTGAAGTATAACTTTTTAGAGCAAGCGTTTGACCGGCTGGCGGAGACTGGCTTCCACATGGTGGCCTGCAACTCCACCGGGACTTGCTCTTACGGCAGCAACGACCCATCGGAGGACAAACTGTGGACCAGCTACACGGAGTACGTCTTCTGTCGATGAGCTGGTGGACTACCAGCAGCTCTGGGAGAAATAACAGGGTTACATATAGTTACATAAAGTTAATTAACATAATACCAGTGCCAGCTTTGCCTTTAGATTCAGGTTCTTGGTCTGCAAGAGTAGGGTCAGACAGATTCTCTGCAGCAAAAAAAAAAAAAAACAAAAAAAAAACTTCAAACTCCTTCATAAATCTCTCCACTAGAAGCAACGACAAGCGTGACTTTTCAGATAATATCACTGGGTTATTTTTATGCGCTACTGGCCTCATGGCCTTGATGGCTTTTAGAGAAGCTTCTTTGTTCTTAAATACATGACAAGTTTTCTCCCCAGAGTGGCAGAAGTGTTAGGAAGTGCCCCAGCACCCTCATCGTCGGTGTTTTACTCTCTGTAATGTCGCTGTGGAGATACTTGAGGAACATACTCACTAGAATATGCACTGTATACAGTCTGGGTTTTCACTTATATGCTATCAAGTCTTACATGTTGTGTGTTGCCTTATTACTTTTTTATTTCTATTGTTCCATGTTGCTTTTTATGACACTTTGACATGTTTTTTTTGTGCTTTGAGATCATGTAAAGTTATTTTATTCAAAACACAGCAAATAAAGTGTGGCATTTTAACACTATCCGCCATATTGTTCTTCTTACTCCTCCTTCCAAGCTATAAAATATCAAGAACTCAGATTATGTTTGGAAATTCAGTTGAAAATGTCAAATATTTTCAACTTCATCTTGATATTTAGAGCTGATGAGAACTGTGTCAGGGAAAAAAAATAATACATATTTTAGTACAGAAACTGATTTTTAAATACAGAAATTTCATCCTATTGAAGAGTATGTCTATGTACTGCTTAGTATATGAGCTCAGTACTTGGTCTGGACTCCTTTTGCATGACTCACAGCAGATTATCACCCTGTTTCCCAGGTTGGTTTATTTTCAGCCTTAAGTTTGTTTGCATTGTTGGATCTGGTGTCTTCTTCTTCAGGCAGTACTCCACACATTCCCACTCCAGATCCCAAATCAATATTGACCTGACATGAATGTGTGTGGCGGCTCTTAAAGCACCAACTCCAGCCACAGTTTATTCTTTGTGAATCATTACCAAATACTTAAATGGATGAATTGTATCCCAGCTGCTTCCACTCAACTTTCCATTAATTGTATAAAGCCCTCTGAACAACAGACTTCTCTAACAAACCCTCTGTTGAAGGTCTCACTATATATCAGTCAGCTAAACAGTCCCCCCCCCCATCCCCCCCGATTAGTTCAAGCTGTTTCTGTATTTAAAATAATTTTATGAGATTATAAAAATGTTTTATAATGGGAAAATGACTAATGTTTTTTTTTCCATTAGTTGTAAGCCATAATCAATTAAATTAAGTAAAATAATCACATACTCAATCATAAACATGAGTCATTTTATTAATTATTGAAATACATTATGTCTTCTGTGCCATTCCACTCTATAGTATATCATCTGTTCCTTTAAAAACAGTCAGATCCTTTCTTTTACTCCTACGCTGATCTATTCATCCCTCATCTTTTTTTCCCCCTGCGACCAAGAACAACAATCGCATGCACAGAGGTAAGTAATCAGTGACCACTAATGCCAGATGAGCATTTGCTGAAATATTGGCTGAAATAAATTAAAGGCACAACGGTTTTGTAGCAGCCAGCAGTTAAAAAGTCAAGAAGAAAGGAAGTTAGAGAGACCATTTTGCATCTAGATATAAACAATCTGGCAAAGAATCATCCGTGTTTGCGTTTCCCGTGTTTCGCTTACATTTTAAATCAGCTGCTAAATGGTGAAAGTGTTTTAACTGAAAAGCTTTTTTTTATGATTTTTATTTATTTATTTATTTATTTATTTATTTTGCACACTTAGCAGAATTTAAACCAAGCCCAGAAAAAGGCCTCAGTAGCGTCTCCCAATCAAGGCTCATTGAATTCAAGTGATTCATATTGAATGTCCACATAAAGCTTACATCACATCAACTTGCTGGAAGAAGAGAACTTGGTTGCTGTTTTTCAAAAGCAGCATAACACAGAAGTCTTTTTTATCTCCCCTGGGCAGGAAGCGAAGGGGGAGGAGGAGGAGGAGGAGAAGAGGGGCTTCTCTTTGGCTGACAAGTACAGTAATCAAATGTCTTTTCTCCTGTGGGATCCTGGGGCAGAAATCCAAGCTGTCCCAGGATCAAGTCTAATACAAAAAAGGCTTTGTGTGTTAGAGTGAACGTAAATACAAACGTGCAATAAAAAAAACAAGATATATTAGAGAAGCTGCAGAGTTAGTCATTCACAGAGAAGCATTTGAAGCTGCCGTTGTAAAATACGTTGTTTTTATAGACGGCTCATGTTCCCTAAATTTCTGGCACACAGACACACACAGTTACTTTACTTTACCAACCCTCATGCACATTTACAGTACTGAGGAGCTTCAAAGACTGACATGTCTAAAAAAGAGACTTTCTATCTGCCGTCAGCTGATTCTGCCATCTGGACAGGAAAAAGGAAGGATGGACCACAACTCTTCCCCCAGTGTCAGCTCCAGAAACAGGATATAGTACACTCTATTTTCAACTAGAAAGAAAAAAAAAACAAAAAAAAAAACAAGGCTAAGCACATTTTCTCTAAATTTGAATATACTATGAAAAAAAAATCATGTTTAAACCAAGCTCAGAAATATGTTTTTTTCTAAATCTAGTCATAAATGCTGGTTAAAAACATTTCAAAGGCTAAATTTCCTTGGTTTAAATTGTCCTGTTTTCTTCTTATGCTGACTTGAAGCGATAGAGTTTCTCCCACAATCACATTTTCTGTCCCCTGTGAAAGAGATTTGTGTCGCTGCCGATAAAACACCTCCCAAGCACATTTCACTCACTGCATGCTATTTTCTCTTTTGAAGAAAACTCTTATCACCAAATGCTATTAATGCTCTCGCACATATACACATGCGCACACACACAAACACTTCTGCGTACACAAAGCGCAGGAGGGAGACAGAAGAAGGGAGCCAAATTAGCCAAATTACAGAGCTGCAGATAACGCCAGCCTGCTGGCCTTCCTTATATCAGCCTCCATGTGCTAAATCCTTCACACTTTCCCTCCCAGTCTCCATCTAGAGCTCATGGCGACCCGCTTGTGTTTAACTCTGTTTGCCTTTTTTAATTCCAACTCCTTCAGTATACAGACTCGGCACGCTGTTCACACAGAGAGGTGTGCATGAATAAATAATTCAAGCTCTGTTTGTCTTTGTATAGATCAGGTGTGTGGGAGCAGAGGAGAAAGTAGGATGGATGCTGAATGTGAAAACATTCTTTCATTTCATGTAAAACGTCCTTTTCAGAGTCAAAGTTTTTGGTTAAGGTTGACTCTATAGTTGCTTTTTTTTTTTTCTAACAAGTTAATCAAATTAAAGCAGGCATGATTTTCCGCTTTTTTAGTTTCTTTTTACAACCCAAAGTCTCACAGCGCCAGTACAACAGGTTAAACATTGTACATTATATTTTCAGTTGTGTGACATAGCAAAAGAGTACTTAGTGTAATATAAAGATGTATTTAAGAGAGAAAAAATAAACAGTTGAAGTTTTTTTTTTCTTGTGAAGTGGTTAATCTGACAATTTACCGACTCTAAAAACTAGTTCAGAAAGTTTTCACATCAACAACTGAACGTTTTGTCTCAATAATACATTTTAATATAAAGAATCAAACTGTGCCCAGGTCTTGTCCTTGAGTGCTCCCACCCTTCAACTTGTAGCTGCTAACTCAGTTCTGCAGAAGCCTGCTGATGAGCCGCTCATTTGGTGTGTTGGAGAAGCGGTCCATCTAAAAGTTTCTGGGTTGTAGCTCTTGAGTGCTGGACTTGGACACCCCTGATAGAAGCTTCAAGTAACACAGCAAAAGTGTAAAAAAAAAAACAAAAAGAGGAAGTTTGGTTCTCCTAACTTATGATTGATTGTTTTAATAAGCTACTTTAATAGTCCTCAGGGTGTTTGGATTCTAGCTCCTCGAGATAGAGCTAGTTTATCTAAAGCGAGCATGAACTAAGTTCTTCTACCCATATTTTCTTTTTTGAAGCTTCTATCACTGTTTGTCTTATCTTGTCACATATGCTGCTCTGTCTAAAAATACTTTTTACGTGGGCGTAACATGAAAAGCTGTTGTGAAACATCAAGTCTCGTCATGTTTGAGAAATGTGTCTATATATTTATGTTGCCTAGCTACACATTTTACATATTCATTGGAAGGATAGGTGAAAAAAGTGCAACTCTTTAAACAGATGTGATCATTTCAGTACAAGTCTAGTCAAATCCCAACACTGTAATGTGTCTATATAACACATTTTGTGTTAAATTTGACAGTTAATATGCAAAATAATCAAACTGCTATGTTAAAATTATTCAGCACAATAACTGTTGCTTTACACAGAACATGCATGTATGTCCTTAGCATACAGGCTAGTATAGGAACTAGTCACATCTTTGTCTTGATTTTTAAATCTTAATTTTCAAGGATTGCCTAATGAAAGTTCATGGCTATGCTCAGTCTGTGAGCCCCTAGAAAGACATATTATCAACTTAAACTAGAAACATGCATCCTGCATGTTTTAGTTCTCTCCCTGGTTGTAGTAACAACCTTCTCAGCAAGTCAATGTTCCTCTTCGGCCTTCTGATGAGCCATCATTTGATCCAGGTGCGGTAGACCAGGGAGAGAACTAAAACATGCAGGATGCCAGAGTTTGTGCATTCTCCCTGTTCCTGTCTGGGCTCTCTCTGGGTACTCCAGCTTCCTCCCCACAGTCCAAAACCAGGTCTGTTGGGTGAACTGCTCTCTGTGTTACTATTGTAATCTAAATTAGGAATGAGTGCATGGCTGTTTGTTCTTTGACAGACCGACGACCTGTCCAGAGTGTAACCCGTTTCTCACCCAATAACTACTGCAGAGGGGCAATAGCTTCCCCTTCTACCTTGCATGTATAAGTTGGCAAAGAAACTGGATGGATGGATTTCACACGTTTAAATCTTATATACTTACTGCGCATCACCAAAATGTTGTACAGATTTTATACCTGTGGTGTCGATGTTACTTTTATACGTGCATCCAGGTGTATCCACGTGCATTTTCTGATTTACAGTCTACATTTTTGCAGCTTCTTTTGA